AGATCATACGTCACGAATCAGTCGCCTCACCTCTCGCAGTGAATGGCCAGGTGGTTCTCCTTCTTCGCAGAATATAGTTTCAGGTGAAATATAGACCAGGAAAGCAGAGTGCTTATGATACAGCATTGTCTCGCGTACCAGATTATGAGCTTGTTCATGTCACGAAATGATGTCGTCCGTGACGGATTTGATCCGCGCCACGTACGCGGGTGATGATAAAGGCGTGGCGCTGCTACGGGCTCTCGGAATCAAGGAGATTGAAGACTTAAACAAGAAGTTGTCGGGGTGGCTGCGTGTACGGTTGCACCGATATTCAGTGAAAAATGTATTGCTGTGTTTTAGCACCAACTCGACGATTACGCCACGAGTTGTGGTCTCTCACAATGAGATTTTGAAACACTGTAATCTCAATGAGGCCCACAACACCCCACCCAGTGGTCATCTTGGTCGTGAAAAGACCCACAGCCCTATGAGTTGCCACTACAGGTGATCTAATCTTTACAAATGGACGAGCACATATGTGCGCACGTGTGAGACGTGTCAAATGGTGGAACCTCTCTCCGAATGCGGCGACGTCGCTGGCCAACTTACCGATACTCTCCGGGTGTTGGCAATCCATGAGTATGGACTTTGTATTTGGCCTACCGAAGGACTCGGCGGACAACACGGGTGTAAGGGACTTTGTGGACCGTTTGAGCAAGATGGCTCATCCTGTGGTAGTGCCGGACACCATCGACGGATTGGGTACAGCGACGCTGCACGTCGATCGTGTCATTTGACAACATGGAGTCCCGGAGTCAATTGTCTCTGATAGAGACCCGCGCATCACTAGAAAGTTTTGGTCCACAATCTTCAGGGTGCTAGGCACCAAGTTGACTATGTCAACAGCGGACCATCCGCAGACCGATGGTCAGACTAAGCGCCTAAATCGCCTCGTTGAAGACAATCTTTGCAGCGTCTGCGCTGAGATTCAGAAGCGTTGGATTGTCATGCTGTCACTCGTAAACAATGCAGTGCATTTGCCTACCGGGAACACGCAATTCTACGTAAACGGGCTTGCTAATCCTTGCGTCCCGCTGACGCTAGCATCCCATGGTTCAAAACTTGGTGGGAAAGAATTTTAGAGAGGCTAGCTAATGTCAGCCCTCTCATTATTCGTAAAGAAATGGATGACTTCCTACTAGACTGAGCGTCTTACGACACGTGCGCAATACGATGAAAACCAAGACATGCAAAAAAAATATGCAGACGGAAGAGGTAGAGATAATGTTAAAAACTTTGAGGTTGGAGACCTTTTATTTAAAATGCTTTAACTTTTCTTACCCATGTAATTTTATGCTGTCTTTAAGATGAAGCTCCGTCCACGGTTTATTGGACCTTTCAAGATTGTGGCCGAGCGGTGCCTTGCGTATACGCTAAAACTTTCGAAACGGATGCGCACTCACCCGGTCTAATATGTGGTCTTGCTCAATTCGTACCGATATCCGACGCCAACCCTTTCGCGTTCACTTGGACCGAAGCGGCACCCACAGGAGCACAACCAAACAGAAGCTGACCAGAAACTGCTTTGAGCACGGACTGCACTGATCTCCACTCCAATAGCGCCATTCGCATGAAGCGACGCATTCGTCTGGTCAACGGCTAAGAGTCGCTCCGACTGAGCGCAATACGCCTCAACGTGAGGCAGTCGATGCACAAAGTGCTCCAAGCTCTCGAGGTTTTCCGCAACACGTTATTGTAGGTACTATTTCTATTCATGCTGCAACAATGGCGACACGACGTCGACCCACAAGGCGTTCTACGTGATAGTGGACGCCACCGTTCTCGTCGACAAGAGTTGGCGGCGGGCGATCACGACCTGGCCGATCACTGTCCGGTGACTCGCGATGCTTTCGAGCCCTTAAAGACATGGTCAAATCCAATATCTTGTGAAGTGGCGGGGATATCCGAACTCCGATAACCTGTGGAAGTTTGATGTGCCACTTAGGCAAGACTGCGCAGATATCGTGGACGCTTACGATTAGAGGGATCATGACTTTATGCGCCGTTGTATTTCGTCTCGCACCCCACGCTTCTCGGCAATAGCCAGAGAAGCTGAATGGCCATGCGCCGACCTCAAGCTATGGATCTGAACAACTGTGGTCGCTGTCTCACCCGTGTGAGAGACCACAGAACTCACGAGCGCGTGATGAATCAACCCATGCTTTACAGGGTGACAATTCGAAGGAAGTCGGCGACGCGCCTTGAGTTTTGCAAACTCAAGCTGAAGGTAGCGTTCCACACGCACGTTTACCTCCTTGTGGCTCGACTGCAAATTGTACAGTAAGGAAAATTTCCGGTGCCACTTCACCCATCACTCAAAGAATTCAACGTTCTCTGCAGCGGTTTCGCCAAGGACGAGCACCATCGGAATTGTCCGCATCGTGGGTACAGGAGCGCTTCCTCGTTGAGCACGAAGGCGAGTGCGGTACGTATCCACAGGGAATTCTTGAGAGAACGAGAAACGAGATCGAGCCGCTTTTCGTTAGTCAAGCTCAGCTTGGGTAGTGGCCGGGGGGCCAATCACGTAGACGACCAACGATCGAGTGATCGTGTCCTTCGCTTCTGTAGCGGTATCTGCCGAGCGGTAGCTGAATCGCTCACGACGGTCAAGGACCGACCGTGAACGCGCGTATGGGATCCGCCTTTTGGACAGCATCCAGCCGCTGCTCCTGTGCATCATCTAGGTAATTGTTAATGACACCACCTCCTCCGGAAGTCGAGAGTTCTGAAATTGGACACGGCATCCGCACGGTTCGAGCAGGGCTCACGTCGCGCCGCTGGCGCGACTCGCCCTATTCTTCTTCCCATTCTGCGAATGGGGTATCCGACTCGTCGTCGACTTCCTCCAAATCCTCGACGTGTTATCCCATCGCCCGTGGCGGGCGCGGTGTGCGGTCGGGAGTAGACATCGTGTCTGTGTTCTTGGTCGTGCGCCCTGTCGCTGGCAATGCGATGCGCAGTACTCGGTTACCAAGAGCTTGGTTGTGCTTCCCTTGAAGCCGCGGACGTGCTGTCCATAGTTGTACCGTGCAGGAGACGAAGAAGGGCTTTCTCGGAACCAGCGAGTACGTGTCCTCGATTCAGAGCTCATTGAATAGAGAACTCGTGAAGAAAGTCCTGGTGTTGTGGTGGTGTCATAGACATGCGAGCCTCATTCGAGGCGACAGTTAAAAGTGAACTGCAGGTGCTCACAATCTTGGTGGGGGAGAGTGTAACGGGGTTTCACGTGCCCTGATATGTACGGTGTGTGTCACACAAGATGGTGTGACCACACAATTGTGTGGCTACATTTAAGCAAGCAGCCAGTACATGGCTGGACTGCCAATATTCATACGTTTTTATGTATCGATAGGAAAAGCTATCGATTTAGATATCGGCGGCTTTGCCGCTGATAAAGCCAAGAATTACAGTTCAAAAACGGAATAGTTAATTAGCTTTGGATAAAGGTTGTAATAGCTCTTGGAGTAAGTGCCAACCGACCATAACCGAGCTTCCTCTAAGCGAAAGAGCTACGGCAGCCCCGCTGCACAACCTCTCATACTTTTTCGACTAAACAGAAGGGGAACGCATGGCACATATACAATTAACCTACACATGTAACAGATACGCGAATCCGGATAGATATCGGTTTTTCTTCTAAACATAACTGAGATTTATCACCTTTGGCGCTTTAGTCGAGATTTCTTAAAACGTTCCTAACATGCCCGTGGCACAGGAGTCATACTCTGTACATAATGCAAAACCCATCGCTTTCGCCAAAAGAGGTGGGGTGAACACGAAAGATCTTGGTGCGAGCTTCACCAATTCTCAGACACTCCATAATTTTTAACCCAACTTGAGAAGCTGGTTTGCCGCCGTAGCTGCGATAAGTGTTCGCAATTCCTGAATATAGTCTACTATTTTTTGTCTCCCTTGACGAACGAAGAAGAACTTGATGTGCAACCGATAAGCCTGATTAGGCGGCGCGAACACCCTCGACATATGCCGCTTCGAATATTCCTATATCAACATGCTGTTTCACAAAGAAACTGCATTAAATACATATTTTCACGCGCGACCTGCTCGGAGACTGCCAGCGCAAAAATCTGTTGCTTTGCCATACAGACCACATGAACATTTCAGTCTCGTCCAGATATCGACTGTTCCGTTCCTGCCTTTCAAGAACCGGATGCTCAACATTAGCGGCTGCATGGCGAGAGTAAATTGTGCTCTTTTAACGCTTCGTTAAGGCATTGTAGAGGCGCCTTAACAGGTCATTCTCATACTGAGGGAGCGTCTCCAGACAAGCGATTGCCACTTCTGGTCCTCAAGCCCCAAGCTCTTCGGGAATCGATAGATATGAGTTTATTAAACGTGTCTAGTTGGCCCAAGCACAGAAAATCAAACTATACATGTTCCCTGTGCCAGGTGGTGCAGTCTTTGAAGGGATTAAGAAGTATTATCAGGTACCACGGGGTTGTCCTTCACCGCAGTAAAGAAAATTCAGGTTTCAGAATTTGTGCTTCAATGCACACAAGTTGAGTCCGTACGCTCCATCCAAGAGCGGAGCTGATGTAACGTGGTTACACGTACCCTTATATGAAAGGGCTGGCCACACAAGATTCTGCGACCGTACAACGGTGTTGATTACACAAGTTGGTGTAATCACACAATGTGGCTACACCGTAACAAGAAGCCACAACGTAGCAGGGCTGTCAGTAGTAATGCATTCTAATCAGGTTTTGTTGTTTTATAAGATAAACATAAGGTTATAAATACAGGCGGCTCTGCCTCAAATAAAACAATTGAATACAGTTTAAAATTTGAACGGATGAGCCTCTTTGCCTTGGTCAGGGTTTTTAAGTATAGCGGATTGCGATCCGCTTCACTCGTACTGGTTCTTGTATAGAGCGTAAGGTCGGTGACCTTAGCTTAGCTCCCTCTAAGCAAAGAGCTACGGCAGCCCGCTACAGCTGAGAGTTTCTCATGTAACTTTGTACTTCTTTGATTTCATTCAATTTCAGACATGACGTACAGAATAATTGAATCTGAATAACTTATTCTATTTTATTTTGTTCGATAACAAAAGTATACGTACTACATAGATGAGGCTAAGACAAATGTAATCCAGCAAATCCAAGCGAAAGTTCGTGAAACAGACTTCAGCCCAGCGCCGAGCTGCTCGATAGACCACGCATTTTGCTTTGATATGAACTTTCTTCGCAATGGCTCCCTTCTAATATCGATTATGCAATATTCTCGCCAAGGTAGTTCTACGTTAAAAGAATAGATGGCCATTCTTCGAATACACTGCACTGTGACTGACCAATCGCTGCGCTCGCTGTTCTCAAATCGCAATCGTACCTGCACGGAACAAGTCTAAAGACGGACTATTTACAATCACCGCAATGAATATCGTGTTTGTATGCACGAGCAACACATGTCGCTCCCCAGTCTCGCAGCATTTTGCTATCGAGTACTTCCGTCGCAAGCTGAATATGACGGTCGAGCAACTGGAAGAGAAAGGAATTATTATTCGGTCTGCAGCGTAGGTTATATTGAGGTTTTAGTAAAGTGATTCTTGGTGATGGCAGTGTTATCTTGTGATGATTGAACAGATTAACGAATGTGTTCGATCCGGAGGGCTCTTCAGCGTCTAAGTACTCCGTGGACGTGATGAAAAAATATCAGCTTGACTTGTCGAATCATCGCTCCCAGCTTTTAACGGAGAAAATGTGCTTGGAGGCTGATTATGTAGTGTGCGTTGCCACTGGCATGACGTACAAGGTCATGGAAAAATTTCCAAGGATTAAAGAACGAGATGGTGTGCTATGTACCTTCTCGCGAGACTTACCTGACCCATGGCACATGTCGTACGACACTTATATGGAAAACATAGCACAAAACGAGGAATTGACGCGGGAATTTCTTGACAGACACGTTACGTGGTGACAACAAACGTCAAGCCCATTCTTTTCATTGAGCGCATAGTTCATACTAATACATGTATGCTTCTTACGACAGCCCAAACCAAACTTTTACTGCGATATTGCGCTTTATTATGTTATTCTACAACCGTCTTAAACGCCACAAGAACAGTGTGACAAACATTAAATTGGAGTTGGACTTAATTGTACATGAGAAAGCGTTTATGTGCTCCAAGGGCTCACCTTTCTTTTTCATACCGGAGAGTACATACCGTGGAGGTAGGTCCTCGTGGCGTTCAGAATGTCATACATCTTTGTTCCAAAATTTGTAATAACCGGTGTCTCGAACTCACTTGAGAAAAACTAGAAGTATAACAAGGAAGGCTTATATTACTAGACTTGTCTCCACATATGGTCATGTATGTACCAAATTTCTAGTTTTGGACTTAACAAATAATGTTGGATAGTCTAAGGAAATTTTTTCAAGAGGAGTAAATGGAAAAGATTCTGATCTCTCGCAAAAAACAATTTACAAATTTCTGTTGCCCATTTTGGACGCTTAAAGATTTGATATTGCCGAAGTCGCGTGGCTAGATAATGACTTTTTTGTCGAAGTAAATTATCGTTTGTTCTTTCTCGAGGGCCATCGCCCGATGCGGAAAACTTTTGAAATTAAAAATTCTTCGCGATTGGATCGGTCTTTATTTCTGTGCATTTCTCCGACTATTATCATAATTACGACATTGACTTTGTAAAAAAATAAGACAAGCTAGCTCGGACAGTCAGAATTTGTACTCATACTGTCAAGACGTGGCAAGATGCCATCGACTTGAAGCTATACGCGGTTATGCTGTAGCATCCGTGGCAGGGAAAGCGGAATGATGCACGCGCATACTTCGCCAATTAGAGGTTGAACTAGTCTGCTAACTTTCGTCAAATTATGAGCTTACCATATGTAACATCCTCAATAACTGTACGATGGATAGACGTCAAATTCAATACCTTTGTGTGGCCGCGAATAAAAGGAATTAGCGGATAACCTCCTTCAACTTTGCAACGCCTCTAGCCGGTCACAAAGACGCTGATCCGATGCAGCGCGCTAAGACTAAATTACATACATCCTGCACTCAAGATTTCGGGACTGCCACTATGAAGTGATCAACAACACCTTTTTTTCGCGAATATTTTTTTTTTGAGTTAGCAAAATCTATCGTTAGTATTAAGAGATAAATTGCGTAAATGCCACTTAGAGCAAAGAGACTGTCTTCGGATTTCTTTCTCTCGTGCGCTTATTTAGCATGCTCTCCGGTACATAGTCATATATGCGATTTAAAAAGGCTAAAATTGGGGCTGGAAGGGCGAGACTGTTCAATATGACTTTTGCAGTACGTGATGCTGGCGAGAAAGCATACTCACACGCTGAAAGAAGAGTAGTGATCGATTAATAATAGTGGGTTGTTCTTTCACGAGCGTCTATTTTGCAATCGACTACACTCTTGAATTACCTTTCATACCGGGGCGGCAAATGTATGCGAAAGTGTCTTAACAGGATCAAAAAGCTAAAAACTCGCGTTCTTGGGCTTTGTGGCGATATATGCCCCTGCATTTTAGTGCAATTACATGAATTCTCCAGAGAGAAAACGATTCTTTTTACCTCACCATACCTCCGCAATATTGTGAAAACGATGCAGTGTATGAATCCTCGGATTGACTGAGAAGTTTAAAAAGAAATCAGCTATTTGTCAAGATTCTCGCACATTATGCAAAGAGTTAGCTGTAAGATAGGAACGCGGTGCATAACATGAACACTCTTTTTTTACCCTTTGAGCTATCCTTAGCTCACTGCAATGATAACATGTTTGTATAATTGACTGCGAAATTCTAATCTTGCAGCAAATGCAATACCAATACACTGCGTGCTTCGCTCTTTAGCTTTCAGTCAGAGGCTGAGGGGAATTAGTAGAGGGTGCATCGAAAGCAATTTTTATGAGCTCAGCTGCGTATATGGGACCATATGGGCGTGACTGCTTCGCTTTGCTCTCTGTAGCGTATTTCTGACGGCGGTGTACTGTATCTGGTATCAGTAATTGAAAGCACTCAAAAAAGGCCATAAATGTTCGTCGATCATAAAAGTATCGCGTTGTTTACGAAACCACGATAAAATTAAATTTGATTGAAGCTCATCCGTCATCAGTTTTGGTTGCTGCCAACCATGTCCATTGCGACAGTACGCCTGCGCACTCACACTCTGACCGAACGTCTGCTGTTGTGATCCACGCATGACAGTCAATGTGTAAATTACTTAAAAGAGACATGTTCGACATCAAGTTTGTACAACTGAATCAAACAATGTTGTAGTTTGACGTCTTACTGTGAAATCCGGATTGCAAAGCTCAATCTTATCTATCTTGAGAAAGGTACCTGTCGGTTCATAATTGTCGTTGCCAGTGACGTGCACGTCTTCGTTCCAGCGATCTTAGACCAGATTTTCACCCCGCTCTCTGGGACTACTTATATTACAGACGTGATGACGAAATTGTCAATATTATAGTTTTTCACATTGTTACTCCTTTTAGCTACTTATTTCGGAGCATTAGGAAGTTTCTAGAACTTTGTTACATTTTCTGTGTTCGAAGTGTGTATACCACCATCAATAATTTCTGTATAGAAAGGCGACGAAAGCATTCGAACAATGTCCATCACAGGATTATATTCTAAGAAATAAGCTAAATATTTTGTATGGGTCAATAATTCACCTACTTCTTGGTCATTCGACGACGACCAATTCTTACAATGCCATTTTTTGTTGGCTGTAGAAGGGGCTTGAAGACGAGCTTAAGGCTATCCAAAGTCGTTTGTCTCTCTCTGCAGACAATATGCTGCAAAGATACAATTGGTGCATATTGATGTCCACACGTCTTGCTGTCGTGGTGTTGAAGCATTAGTCCATTCCTAAGGTTTTAGAGCACCGTACGTAAACGATTCGTTTTGCTTTCCAATGTGTCCTGAAAATTTAATGTATTTTGTACAGGTCACTAAGCAATGAAATCAGCGAGAACGGACACGATCACGTCGCAACAGACTCCAATCGAGTTGTACAGCAATGACTCGTGTTCGTGGATGATCTCAGACTCGCCCCACGATGCATCTCCGTTCCCGATGGTTTGCGACGACCAAAAACTGCGATTTGTATTCGATGACTTCGTCGAAGGTGGTGCCCTGCGGAGTGGAAGTGCACCTAAACTCTTCTCACGACACTACTTTGGGCTCGTAGCACAATATGCAGCCATCGGATTTATTGATGGTGTACTACCCAATGTCATGTATCCTTTCCTGCAAAATTATCTTAACTTGCCTGGTGCGCAGACTACCACAGCATTCTTGCTTGTACAGATGCCATGGAGTTTTAAAGTATTTTACGGGGTCGTTTCCGACTGCTTTCCAATATGGGGCTACCGTCGACGACCATACATCCTAAGTGGATGGATTTTTGCACTCAGTATGCTTCTTATAATGTCATTTACACCCAAATGCAAGCCATATTTTACGAATCCAGACTATCGAGACGTCAAGCCCGAAGACTATACGCCCGAAATTATCGCAACGATCAACTATGAAGCAACGGACACTGGAACCGCACACATAATCCCAATGATGGGATGTGCTTTCGGGTATTTGCTCTCGGATGTGTCTGCTGATGGAATGGTGGTGGAGTTGGCTCAGCGTGAACCTTATGATGAGAGAGGCAACAGTCAGACGGTGATCTACACAACGCGAACAATATTTAACATGCTGGCGTACATTCTTGTGGCCTTCTGCTTTAATGGTGAAGAATACGGCGGCGACTTTAGCTTTTCATTGTCGTTTCCGATGCTGATGTTCATCGTAACGATCATAATTATGCCCATCGTGCCCATCACGTGGTTTTTCTTACATGAGGAAAAGAATGCCATTGCTCTGGATTTTAGTCATTACATGTACACATTTTGGGACGTTATTCAAACGCGTGCTGTGTATCAGTACCTTGCATATCAGTTTTTTTCGGGTACGCTTTCGTCATTTACATTTATGTCGAAAAGTCCTGTAATGCGAAATTGGGTGGAAGTTTTGCCGATTCAGGAAAAAGTGGGTGGACTTTTGTCCACTGGCATGTACGCCACATCCATTTACTTTGCTGGTAACTATGGACGCAGTTGGGATTGGCGACGTACAGCCGTAGTGACCTCATTTGGCTACGTCGTTTTGGATGTGTTTGTCAAGTTGTTGACAATCTGGGATAACGTTCGATCACCCTATCTTTGGCTTGGAATTACCGTTCTTGAACAGATTCCGCTCGGTGTGAAGTTTATCGTGGGCTCTTTTATTATTGTCGAGCTTGCTACTGAAGGACATGAAGGTGCACTGTACGGCTTATTCACGACGGTCCACAATCTCACGACCCCTTTCTCAGCCACCATAGCTCGAAATGTCGATAGTATGTTCAATTTGACTACAGAACGAATTCAAAATGACACTTACGGTGTACGAAGAGACATGACCATTTCCGTGGTCATTATGTGGACGGCTAATTTGTGCTCGCTCTTCTTTTTAGTAATGCTTCCACAACAGAAAGAGCAAACGCGCGCTATGAAGCAAATGGGTGGATCTAGTTACGTTATGGGTGCTATCACAGTCTCGTACCTCATCTTTGCACTACTATGGACAACAACAACAAGTATTCTTAGCATCTTCCCAAGCACATCGTGTCTTGCCATTACAGGAGGTTTTGGATGTCATAGCAGTCATGTAAAACCATAACAGAAGAGTAGGTAAAATTTGGGTTTGACGCTTTTTCAATTAGCCTAATAAGTATTATTCGTGTCAACTCGTTAAACAGATATTATCAGATGACTGTGCCCCAGACTGTAGTAATTCTTTCATGTAAATAGCGACCAGTCTTTGACCGCAAACGAGTGCAGCGCCTGCTTAAATATGGCCACAGACACCTCGGAATTGTCCTCGAATTGAAAAGCATTGCGGCTACTACTGGCAGGATTAATGCGCATGGGTGCTGAAACTGAAAGCACAACGTCAGTGGTTACACTAGGCAGCCGGATGTTGCCCAGGTAGACGCGCACAACGTTTTTGGCATGATCGCCTTCTTTAAACTTGGCCACGCACTGGTCGCCAACTATAATTCTCATAATATGGGGGACGTCGACACCTGTAAGTTTAGTGTCAGTCTTTTCTTCAAGAAGTACCGCCACTTCATCGGGACCACATCCATTAGATTGTGCAATCTCATTGAAAAAGTAGCGCGCGCTCTGATTATCGTCTACGCTCTCTTCGAACTGCAGGAGCTCTACAATGACACATTGATCGGTAGTCGCATTTGCAAATACTTCTTGGTTATCGGGCACTTGCCGAAACGAACTCACGTCTACGAAATCTTCAGGGATCTCACAGCTAAGCGCACCGCCAAACAACAGACGAAGCATTTTGGTAATACAAGGTTAGCCTATTCATTCTTAAGTATGTATACCCATTGTTTACCACAAGATCAGTATCCGTTTTTCTAATTACTTTAAAAGGTTCTAAAACGCCAAAATCAATGGTGAATTCTCAAAAATTCATCAAATATCTCAACACCTGGTACAAATTATCGCTGACTCTTGACCAACAGATGGAAAAGTTTTTCGGAAAAAGATGGAAAATGATAGTTACGTGTGACAAGTCCATTGTACTTGCGAGATAAAACAGATGCTCTCCTCCATACATTCTCCGTGTGCTTCGCTCATATATTTATAATTACCAAAGAAAGCCTCTGGGGGAGGAAAATTGCTTGAATAAAACATGGAATCTAGTGGGAGACGTAAATGAACGCATTAAAATAGGCATTCTTCGTGCATTGTATTACTCTCGCATGGTATACAAAAGTCTATACGGCAATGGAGCTTTTTTTGTCTCTGATCTAGGTGTTGCGAGAGGAAGCGGGGCTGTCGTAGCTCTTTTGTAACGGGGTTACACGTACCCTGGTAAAAGAGGTGTGAGTCACACGAGATGGGCATGGTGTTACTGCACCCAGACAAGAATACGGCATGTGACTAGTAATTAGCCCTGGGTTAAGGCAATAATTACTCTTGGAGTAAGCAGATTGCGATCTACTAACTCGTACTTGTTCTCAGTCTAAGACAGGTTGATGACCTAAATTACGCTTCCTCTAAGCGCAACGCTACGGCAGCCCCGCTGCATCTTTGATTAGAGAAAGCTTACTAAGGTCATCGACCTAACATTCTATACTGGAACCAGTATGAGTGTAGCCGATCGCAATCCGCTGCCTCGAAGAGTACCCAGAACCCAAAACCAAAACAAATACACTCTTCCGTTCAAAATTGAGACTGTATTTATTTGTTTATTTTCGGCAAAGCCGCCTATATCTAAATCTTTAGCTTTATCTGATTAAATAGTAAAACCTAATTGATATGCATAACTACTGGCAGTCCCGCCACGTAATGGCTTCTTGTTGCGGTGTAGCCACACCATTGTGTGATTACACCGACTTGTGTAATCCGCTCCTTTGGACGGTCACACCATCTTGTGTGACCCACCCTTTTATACCAGGGTACATGTAACCCCGTTACACTCTCCCACATCAAAACTGTGACTACCCAGTATTCATATCGAACTGTCGCCTCGTATGGGACTCGCGTGTTTAAGAAACAGTTACGTCCCCATATCCTTTTTCACGTATCTCTATTCAACGTGTCCTTCGTCTATGAAACGAAAAACACCCACCTCGCTGGTCCCGAGAGCGCCCGCGGGCAGAGCCCTTCATCGACTCCTGCACGTGATGCAACTCCGGACAGTACGTCCGCAGCTTCACGGAAAGCACATCCCGATCCCTCGGCAACTGGGCGCCGGACACCGCGACCGGCAAGGGCGGCAGATTGGAGGAAGTCGACTACGAGTCGGATACTTCTTTCCCAGCATGGGGAAACGAGGAGGATGAGGTGCGACATCGGAGCGATGTGAGCCCTGCTCGAACCTTGCGGACACCGTGTCCGTTGGGAGGTGTTATTATTACCAGTCGCCTTGACGATGCACAGAAGCAGCAGTTGGATGCTGCTCGCAGGGCAGCTCTCGTGCACTCGCGTCCTAGACCCACGTGCGGAATACGGCTTCCGCTCCGCTAATCTCGCTACTGAAGCGAAAGACACGATCAGGCGTCTACGTAGTCGGGCCCCCGGTCACTACACAAGCCGAGCTTGACCAACGAAAAGCTCTCCGAGCTTGCTTATTGGTACCTCAGAATATTCCAATGGATAGGTACCGCGCTCGACTTCGCGCTTTAAGAGGAGGCGCTCCTGTACCCGCGATGCGGACGATTCCTGCGGTGCTCGCCCCTGGCGAAACCGCTGCTGATGATGAAGAGAGGTTTGAGCAATGGGTGCAGCGACACCGGAAGTTTTCCTCGCTGTCTAACTTTCAGCTGAGATACAAGAAGTGGACGTGCGCGTAAAACGCCATCTCCGTTCGAGTTTGCCGAAATCAAGGAACAACGCCGACTTTCTTCATATTGTCGCCCCGCGATGTGTGGATCACGCGAGGTCTGTGGTCTCTCACACTGATAAGACTACGACCATCAGCTCAGGACAATAGCATGAGCTCAGCTCATGGCCCTACGGCTTTCCGGGCTCTTGCCGAGAAGCGCGGGGCGTACAACGGCGCGTAACGTCATGATCTCCATGATCATAACCGTCCCCGATATCTGCGCAGTCTTGACGAAGTGGCACCTCAAAATTCTACGAGCTCTCGGGTTACGGGGATTCTCGCCACTTCTCAAAATTTTGGGCTTGATCCTGTCGACGACGTTGACCACAAGGCGTTCAACGTGATAGTGGACGCTACAGTTTTGATCAGAAGAGTCGGATCCGGACGAAGACGACTTCGTCG